TCTCAAGACTTAAGGATGCGTGTAAGGATTGGGGGGGGGGTTATGTTTCTGTGCTGTGATGTGTTTTGGTGTGTGTGTGTTTTTTTCAGCCCCATCATGTTCTGATGGAGCTGGCTGTTTGTGGTGTTTGTGGTTTTTTTATTTGTTTTTCAGCTCCATCGCGTTCCAGTGGGGCTGGCTGTGGTGTTGCTTTTTTATTTGTTTGTTTTTCAACCCTATCGTGTTCCGATGGGGCTGGCTGTGTTTTTTGTTTTTTGTTTTGTGGGGTTTTTTGGTATTTTTTAAATGCTGGAACAGATTAATCACGTTTCAATTCATTCCTATGGGAAATGGTGCTTTGACTCATGACCATTTTGAGTTGTGCCCATCTTCTGGAACAGATTATGGTCGTAAGTCAAGGCATCACTGTAAATGGCATGCCTGTTTTTGCTCCCAGGGCAACAGATGGGAGACTTCATAGGTGACATCCATGCTTGTTTATAGGCCTCAGTCAAGTAAGCATATTTAATAAACATTTAGCTCACAAATGGGCAGTTTGTGGCCTCCAGATGCTGTTGTACTGAAATTCCCATTTCTTGCTATTGGCTATTCTGACTAGGGATGATAAGATTTTGCATGCCATAACAACTGGAGGAGCACAGGTTGTAAACAGTTGTGATTGTATTTCAGTGCTATAATTCTCTTTTTTTATTTTTCAGGAAAGCATTAAAAGAATTAACAACTTGAATTCATTATCATCTGGTGACAACATTACAGCTTTCTATGGAATAAATCAGTTTTCCCATTTGTTTCCTGAAGAATTTAGAGGTAGAGAATGAAGATGATCATGATGATGTTAATGAATTGCCATGTTTGTTTTTTAGTCATTGATACCACCCTATCCTCAATGCAAGCAATTCTGGCAATTTTATACTAGGTAGTACATTCATCTATATTCATAAGCAGTTTGATAAACATATAAATAAATAGCCACTTATTTTTCATGGAAAAGGGAGACAGGATTGCCACTTTCTCAAAAGTCAGGGAAATGGAAATTGGTCTAAAATCAGGGAAATTGTTATTGGGAAAAGCAAGAACAGAAGGGTTATTTGTCTTAAGAAGATACATTTTAAACTACTTCAAGTTAAACTTGGCAGCTTATTTCATTATGTAGCTGTGACAATGATGACTTTTGTGATTATGTACCATCACTTTCTGTAATATACTCCTTTCCTTTCCATTAGATATTACTCTGGATCTAGAATAGACCTGATTATTGAGGCTTTTGTAAAGAGCAGGGATGCTACAAGCTTAAATAGTTCTAACTGATTACTTTCTGTATCAAAACAGTACACTCAGAAATGATTCAGTATTGGAATGTTTGAGAGGAGATAATATCAGCTGTGGGTCTGATGGCAATTTTAGTATATACATTTTAATTGCATTTTAATTATTCTGCCCTTTTATTTTGCCTTTTTATTGTATTTTAAATGCTGTAAGCCGCCCAGAGACCTTCGGATAGTGTGGGCAGCATATAAGTTAAATAAATAAATAAATAAATAAATAAATATTATAAAGGATCAAGAATTGCTGTGTCAAAGAGGTAGAGACTGTAATTACCAAAGGAAAAGTCAGATGCTTTATGCAGATAATCTCTGGTCCTGTAGGTAAAACAGTGGCTCATTTCAGGGTGTGCCTCCCCATGACTATAAGCTTCCCAGAGCTTTAGCTATAGAGGAAGGTAAAGGTTCACAGGGCTGCAAGACATACTGTCCCAAAATATACGTAGTTATTTGGGTGAGCTGAATGTACCATCTTTTGTTAAGCTGAGAATATACATCAGGCCGACACACCTTATCTCTTCTCATTGTGTCCTGATTTTATTACTATGGTTTTGGTCTCTATAAACCACAAATGTCTATTATATCCAAAATGGGGAACATTATTTTGTGGTTGGTTTAATAACTAACATGTTAAGATCCTGCCTTATACACCAGTATTAAAACCATGGTTCCATGTTCTCAATGTTATGGAAAACTACGGCTTGAAGAATTCAGGATGGAAAAAAACAGCAGTACAGGCGGATGGACGGGTGTACTTATTTCTACTTTATGTCAACCAGGTGTCCATTGAAATAAAATTTGTTAGCATTTAAGGTGTTTCAAGACAGAAGGGTTCTAGTATTATTAATCAAAATGGCTATTCCTATCCCAAATTTCTTCCTTAAGGGATATTTTTGTTAAGGAAAAAAAATAGGAAGAAAGGATAGGAAAGCATTCTAATTGTAAGATAACAGTGTTTGGACCTTCCTATAAAATTCTGTATTTGAGGCAAGGCAGTTGCAGTGTGAAAACACACCCTTGATTAATTTGATGGTACTAAATCTCCATTCATTAAATTAAATTAAATTAGACAAGTGTCTTGCTTCTAGAAAGAGAATATTTATATTCTTTCATATGAACCTGCTTAGGCATTGTGATCATTGTGGGCCCTTCTCTCAGTTCTGCCATTCTCACAGGCATGCTTTGTGGAAATCAAAAGAGGGCTTTCTCTGGCTTTCCTCAGGGTCTGGAACTCAATACCAAGGAAGGCTCAGTTTATCCCTCCCTGTGGTCCTTCTGATGGCAGACATAGCATATTTTAAGTAGCTAACTGGCAGTTTTTGGAAAGGTTTTTTTAGCGTTGCTATAAAATTTTTATTCCTTTTTAAATGGATGTGTCTAATAATATTTTAACAGTAATAAAATTCTGTATGTTTTTATCTCAACTGTATTTGTACTGTTTTAATCTCATAGACCGCCTTGAGTCTCAGTTTTGATCAAAATCAAATCAATCAATTCTGGCTAAGATCGTTTCAAAAACTGAAGATGATAAACCTTGCTTTATTTTAAAGCTATTTACTTACAGTGCAGAGCTTTTAAAGTTCCCAAATATAACCGGGAAGTTTCACTAGAAGGAACAGAAAAGCCCTTACCAGCAAAGTTTGATTGGAGAGACAAAAAAGTTATTACCCAAGTGAGAAATCAAGAAACGGTAAGCTTTGCATTTAATTTTTGTGTAATATCACAACTTTGTTCAGACATAGGGCACCTTAACGTAATAAAATTCTATGCCAAACTTGAGATGATAAAATGGATACTCTGCTGTCCTTTCAACACAGGATTATGTCTCCAATATTGTGTTGGCAGTGATGCAGTAAGCCATATATTCATAGCACTGTTTCTGAGGTTTATATAGACTGACTTGTCTGTAACTTCCAGATAGTGGAAAAGGTGAGGTGATGCCTCAGTAGATTCTAGATTTAAAAGCCACCAATTTATGTCTGTGCCAAATGAAAACTGACGGGATGGTCAGCACTCTGAAAGAAGCAAAGGGTTACTATATTTATTTAGGGTTTTTTTTATTTATCTATTGTATTTCTATCCTGCCCATCTAGTCAGTTGACCACTCTGGGTGGCTAACAACACATAAAAATAAAGCAATTTAAATATATAGAGAAGTAAACCATACAAATACAGCCTGTGCAGCACTGTAAAGTACAGTTGACACACATTTTAAAATATTTTAATTTAAAGGGTAAAACAGGAGTTTATCGATGATAACTAGTTTGATTATGATTATTAATTATTATTATTATTGTTCGTTTATTCTTTCCAGTGTGGTGGTTGCTGGGCTTTCAGCATTGTTGGTGCAATAGAGTCTGTCTATGCAATTAAAGGGAATGTTCTGGAAGAATTCAGTGTACAACAAGTTATTGACTGCTCATACAATAATGTTGGTTGTCAAGGTGGCTCAACTGTTGCCGCTTTGAGTTGGCTGAATCAGGTATTAGTTTCTCACAGATCTACTATCTCGTTTAAAAAATGGCCATTTTTGCCAAAGAGAAAAAAATATATGGGAATTGATAAAAAGTGTTGCTTTGTTAGATTAGCTCAGGAGCCTCTTTAATCCATAATATTACATTAATCAGTAGTCATCTGGATGTCCCAGTGAAGATCATCCAGAAAACATAATAGACAATAGATTTAGCATATTGTTTGTCTCTCTCATCTGGCTAGCATATATTGTGTTCAGACCAATATATAAATTGACTTTAGGAGCTAGTCTAGATTAGAGCCTGAAAAAGTGGTTCCTTGGACTACAGTACCTATAATTCCCAGCCCACAGGGCCACTGCTAATACTAACTGGGAGATTCTAAGAGTTACACAAGAAAAAATGAACTCTTCCAAGACTAGAGTTGATGACCCCCCCCACCTGGTTCCTTTTCTGTCCATCAAAAGTAATGCTACAGCTTCTTTTAAGACAGTATTACTGTGACCCTTTTAATGAGTCCCTGCAGATGGTAACCATAGATACTTTTGCATTGAATTACAAGTCGTTGGCAGAGCTTGGAAATAATTGAATGTGTTAACATTAAAGTAATATGTTAATTTAATGTGTTAATTTAAAATTAATTCCTTACACATTACAACAGGACGGATGCATTAAGTCTTAAGAAAATATCATTTTGCAAGCAACACTTCAGTGTTTGAAACTTTTAAACTATTATTTTCTAACCATTAGTTTGCTTATCTTCCTGTTTTTTAAAAAAAGTATCGGTGTTGCTGTTAATATGTTAAATTAACACAATACTCTGACATTTGTTTGGCTTATCTTCTTATAGACACATGTCAAACTGGTGAAAGATTCAGAGTATTTATTTAAAGCTGAAACAGGATTGTGCCATTACTTCAGTCGCTCAGATTTTGGAGTCTCGATTATAGATTATGCTGCATATGATCTCAGGTAACAGCTTATGAATATTTTTATACATTCTCTTTTTCTGCTGTCACACGAACAAATACATACAAATAACAAATATAGTGGTGCCTCACTAGACAATTGCCTAGTGGGACAAAAACCCCGCAAGACGATTGATTTTTGCAGTCGCTGTGGTGCCTCACAAGACTTTTTGTTTTTTGTTTTTTTTAGACCAGTGCTTCGCAAGACTTTTTTTAAAGACCGATGCATAGGGAACCTTATAAGACAATTTTTTCACAAGATGACGATTTTTGCAGAACAAATTAAAATTGTCTTGCGAGGCACCACTGTACATGTAACTGCTGTTCTTCAGACACTTAAATAGTTCTAATTGTCATTTGTACTCATATGGTGGCTTTGAAAAAAATAGCAAATACTGTTATCATTATGAGGTATAATAAATATTCAATGCATATGTTCTAAAGGAGGTACATATTTTCTCAAATTTTGAATGTATTCTGTACAGTAGTATCTTATCCTACTCCAGTTCTTTTTTGAAATTTGAAATAACATTTGTAATTGAGAATATTCCAAGTAGAGAAAACTATACATTGCAGTTGTACAGTAGGTCCATCTACTACTTTCCTTTCCCTTCCAGTGCAGTTATTGATAAACAGAATGAGTTACTAATGAGGTAGAACATCACAGGAAGTACCATAATTTCCAAGACAAGTGGATACGATACACACGGAGGCAGATGTGTGATATGTAATATGCACTCAGTCAGTTGCTCATAAAAATGAGTCAATATTGTTTGCATTTCCCCTGCAATATGTACACTGTTTTCCCCACGTGACCAAAACAAACAGTAATATTGAGCGCAACTTGTAAAAGCAGCAACCTTATTTGAGGTTGTTTAGCTGGTATTAGAGCAGAAATTTACATGAACAACCAGAATGGGGGAAAATACCGGTATTTGGGAAATAGCTAGAAACCAACTTTTCCCACTCTTCCACCCCATGTGTTCAGAAATTCCAAAGGGTCCAAAATTCCACAGCCAGATTGTTAACTGGGGCTGGTTAAGAGAACATGTACAGTACAGTAATATCCCTGTTACAACAGCTGCACTGGCTGCTGATCCATTTCCAGGCACAGAGTGCTGGTTTTAACCTATAAAGCCCCAAACGGCTTGGGTCCAAGCTATTTAAAAGACCACATCTCTCTTTATGAGCCTTCTTGAGTGTCAAGAGCATCAAGAGAGGCCTTTCTCTCAGTCCCACCACCTTCACAGGCACACATGGTGGGGACATGGGAGAGATCTGCTCCCACTCTGGAACTCACTCCCTCTGTCCCTGCTCTCAGACTCTGGAACTCCCTCCCACAGGAAGCTAGGTTGGCCCCATCTTTGCTGTCCTTCCATAGGCAGGTGAAAGCCTTTCTCTTCAGGTAGGCTTTTCCTTAATGACTCGTGGACTGAGAGGGGTTTTAAATGGACTGTTGTGCTCTGTTGTTGTAAATTTGTTTTAATATTAATCTTTGTTACCATTTTAATGCAGTACTTGTTTATTTCTTTTTTGTATTCATATACTTACTGTTTTAGCTTTTAAATACTGTTTAGTAATGTAAGCCACCTTGAGTCCTTTTGAAGAGAAAGGCAACAGAAATATTTTAAATAAATTCATAAATTTGAAACAATTTGCTCATAGAAGAATGAAAGAATGTTTCACTAAAATAACTCTAGTTGAAATAATAAGCTTTATCATGTCTGTCAATGCAGTTTGTGTCCAGAGAACATAATGATCATGATAGTGTGAAATTTGTGTATATAATAAAAATAAAAGAAGTGTGGTATCTCAAAAGTTTTTATTTTTGTTAAACATGCTGAAACAGACTTCTTTGAAAACTGTCTTTAGTGTGCTGCTATTAAATTCCAAACTGCTTTTAAAAATCATATACCTACACTTTAATTTAGAAAGAGGCTTCTTTGCACATCCAGAGCTGTGGGAGGAAGTGCATGTGCAAACATACTACAGTGGTGCCTCGCACAACGATTGCTTCACACAGCGATGGGTTTCTTTGAGGAATTTCCCCCATCGTTTAACGATGTTCTCTATGGGGGAATTTCACTTAACAATGTCCCTTTTTCGCTCCTGTAAAAGTGTTTTAAACTGTTAGAAACCTGTTTTAAATGGTTGCAATCGTTAGCCCACCTCCTGAACCCTATGCAAACTTAATTTGGTGTTGTTCTGAGTCGTTGTTAATTTTTGGTGATTTTT